AGATCACTCATGCCTGATTTAAAAGTTGAACACTAGATGGGGCTATATCCTTGTAGTACCACTAGCTAAATTTAACTACTGTTCCAACTGTCTCTGATATAATTCCAATTAGTTAAATGCAAGCAGCCTGATCAATGGCCTATTTAAATGTGTTTTAAAAGGCTGATAAAAGGTAACAGTATATTCCTAAAAGCCTTCTGCAAGAGTTTCATGAGTCCATGAGAACTTCTAGAATCTAAACAGAAGACTGAAAAAAAATCAGTTTTCTCAGTGAACACTATGTTTGTTTAGCTATTGATAGGCTAAGGAACAAAATATGTTTTTTTCAGCTGCCCTAGTAAGAGATATTTGAAAATATAACTTTTATATCATGTGTACTGCTAGAGAAGAGCTGATGCTCTACGCTATGAGAGAGAACAAAAATAATACATTCGGTTTTAGTATCAAGCATCTATACCTATCCAGTAAGATTCTAAGAAAAATTAAAGTGTATTTTGTGCATAAGCAAAACATATTTATTTAAATTCTTCTCTGAAATATTTCACATTAACTCCACCAAGTAATGAGAGAAAATAAAACACACCTTTCCCATTAAAAGAACTACAAAGGATTGAAAAAGCACTGCAACAGCTACTAGCTCTACCACATGCATTAAGAAAGGTTTCAAAGGATGAGTGAAGGCTGCCCACATAACCGGAGGAAACTGGCACACTACTCTGGCTGTAAAGCTCTTTTACAGATAAGGCAGGCTATGCTTTCTACAGAGACATAGTGGATTAGCTGTATGGAGTCAATGGGAAAGGATTCTCTACTCCTTGATTTCCTGTGTAAAGTTTGGTTAACAAAAAGTACATGAAAGGAAATCTGTGAAAATGCAAATCAATCATTTTCTCACAAACAAGAGATTACACAGTACTTGCAGCTTTCACAGTCCTGCATCACAAACTGTTCATTCATTATGTTTTAATATTAGTGCTGCATAGACTGTACAGGCTATGAATATGAATACTGTGAATCACTGAAAGCATCAAAGTTACACTGTGACAACCTTTGTTGTAGTTTTCTTGGAGTAAAGCTTGACAAGGAAGGGTGTGAGATCTCAGTCTTCTCTTAGTAGAATTATTGAGTAAAGTTGACTGAAAAATTACAATTATTGGGACTGAATTATAAAGCATGCCAGCTGCAGCTGATCTACTCTCCTTCATAAACAATGTAATAAACTTTACAAATTTTTTTAGAACATAGTACAAATTAATGTATCAAAATTTGAGTGTTTTTCTGATTTATATACTGCATGCTTACAGCCTGGTCTTGAAATTATAGGTATCATAACAAAGCTGCACACATTCGCAGTCTAGGAATCATAGTCATTTAAAGCCTTGATCTAAGTGTCTTTTTTGGTCCTTACCCTTCAGTGATTATAAACAGTTTTGCCACCTTTCTGTAGTATCTGATAAAAGATCAAGTGGCCTATGAAAGAACTACTCACATGCATAAATCTAAACATATTCATACATCTTTGCAAGATCAGGAACATGGCCTGAACTAAAATGCAGGGCCTCCCAGCATTATCAGCATGATCTGTAACATTTCTGTGACACTGAGAAAGAAAAAGTCGCCAGTTCTGCTTGATAATTTTGACAAAATAAAAATATACCTAGTAGTTATATCTAGTTGAGACAAATGATTATAGAGCAGTAGCTGGGAGGTCACAGACAACTTCGCACTTAATCCGGAGATGGAAGAAATGAAAATAATCCATAAAGCAGAGCCTAACAGTGTTCTGTTTTGGGGTTCCTAACTTGTTTTTTCATAGTCCTTTTCTAAGGAAGGAAGGTTCTGCTCTGCCTGAATAAGGTTCATTGTTATATAAGAGAGGAAAAGTCTTAATACAATGCCGTCTTTGTGACAGTAATGTCTCCACTACTGCAGAAAAGAAACAAATCACTCTTCGTGAATGCAAGGGAGAGTTCTAGAATGGTAATTAGCCAAGAGACTAGGAGAGCTGATAGAGTGAGTGCTTCTGAAACTGTCTACACTAAGCAAGACAAAAATAGAATTAATCCATTTCCATGAAAATGATGTTAAACCTGACTATATCAACACCAACAAGCTAAAGTTAACCCCATATTAGAATTATCGCTGTTCTCTGCTACTGGTATAACAGTATTACAGTAGTATCAGCACTCCATATAATAAACAATAGAGAAACAGAACAGTAAAATGATCACATGTGAATACTGCTGCAAGGCAGGACACTGGTTTGTATTCTACACTTACCCTGTGCTGCTCAGCTCCCCCCCACTTGCCCACACTTCTGCCTTTGATTGCTTCCCAAGGGAGTGGCACTAATTGCATAGCCTCTCTGTTCCAGGCCCTTTCCCTTCACAGCACTAGGGCAAGGCCACACTCGCCTTCCCAGGCACTGGCTGACAGTGCTTTTCCCAGCAAAATGCTGGAAAGGACCACAGCAGAACTCCCATGCACATGGCAGCAGAGGTCTTGACAATTCCTGTAGAGAAGTGAGGGAGGGAGGAGGTTATGCCTCATGGCCAGAAAGGAGTAAACAAAGTCCTAAATGTAGTTATCATGTGGAAAGTCATCCAGACATATGTCCTAGATGACCAATGAGGGTACTTGGGGAAAGGAAGGAGCAAACAGGCTCGCGTTGTAAAGATTCAAATGTTATCAAACATCATAGTTTTGACTGTCCCTCCATGTGACCTGTTTAACATGACTACCTCATAGTTGAGAGGAGAGACAAGAAAAATTAAAAAGTAAGCCAAATTCATATACAGCCTCTGAATTCTTGCCAGTTATAATTATTCTTTAGCATGTTCAGATATGTTTCAAAGGTGTTCTACTTCCCTTCCCATTTTCTCCCCCTCCCATCTTGGGCATGTTTGCTCTATAAATGAGGTCCAAATCTCTATCTGGAGCATCTGCTTTGTGATTCATGGTCTTGGTCTTTCACACAAGCTTAAGACAAATTAAAATCCTATGCAACTTCACAAGGTCTGAGTGTATTTCAGATGATAACAGGAAACAAAATATCTAAATGTTTCAACACTTCAAATACCCCACAAGTTTAGGCTAGCCAAAAGGAAACTTAAAAATTGAGCACAGTTACGATAAGTTATAGAATTACATTAAAGCATCATGCATATTAAATATTCTTAGACTATTTAGATGGAAGTCAACATCATCACAGAGGGAAGACATACAACTGTAGTGGTTGAAATACCATCATTCCACAAAGAGCAAAAAGTATGTGCTTTAAATACATTGCCTGCATTACAAAAGTACTGGAAACTCTATCTCACTTTCTGCAAAATGCTCACTATTATTTAGTCAACTCCCTAGAAAAATGACATAAAAGTATTCTCCACATGCATGCAGTGAGCTGTGTTAGTAGTATGCATGCAGGATGATGTATCTGGGCAAAAAGAACAAGACAACAGAAACTGTTAGCAGACTTTGGATCAGCAAGGCACTCAAAGTGATGAGTAAACCCCTAAAGACCAAACCTTGCAGCACTTCCTAAATGCCTATAAATTATCCTGAAATCTCAATAGACAGAAATAAAATCTACACTTATTGAATGTCTTTCTTTTATGCATTTGTTTTCTTGGAGCCCTTCTGTACTGGAGACTTTTGTAGTCATAAACATACTAGTATAGAATCTCTTCAAAATAGGAGTCAAAAAAACCTAGATGATATAAGAAAACACTGATATCAGTATAAATGGCCTACTCTTTTATTTTACTAACACAATTAAAATAAATCAGTAATGCTTTAAGTATCAAAATACCAATTTTTTTATTTTTGGAAAAACAAAGCTTTTTTTTCAGTTCATAACATCAAATTTTTGTTAACCTAGAAAATCTTTGGTATGAAAGAATATGCACCAAACATATGCCTTTAAAAATACACAGTATTAAGCAATTATTTGATCTCCACCAATAACGATGCAAGAAAAAGTTTCAGAAATTTGGGTAGCAAGCTATCCAAAAACTCCCTTATGCTGAAATTCACAGCAGGGCTCACAACAAAAGCCAGCTTTCACCTCTGAAATGAGCTGACTGGAAAGACTCCTGTAGAGTCAAGGCCTCCAAGGGCCCAGTGCAAAGGGCACCTGGCCAGCCTGACTTTAGCAGTTCCAGCAGCTGCAGAAACTGAGGTACAAGGGCGAATGAAGCCGTGAGACACCAGCCAGGACTCACCAGAACCATTGGGAATATGCTTTGCCTCTAGATTTGGCAGTCAGTGATTGGAGCACGCTCCGTAGCCACAAGGCTAGGCTTAGGGTCGATTTTACACTGGTAAGGGAGTAGTGAGAGGTGCTAGTGGTAGGGCTTTAACCTTTTGATACTGCTACAGCTTCTTCCATGTATACAGTTACACTGATGCAAGAGTCCTGACTTTCCTGTATGGAAGCTGAGGTAAGCACCTGCCTTCCAACCCCACTGTGCCCACATGTGGGTTCTGTGTTTAATCTTTTTGCACAGATGAGACTTACTGTGGGCATCCTGAAGTACCCCTGAACTCCTGTCAGACCAAGTGCTTCATGGAGATGTACCAAGCCTGATCCTGCGCAGGCAGGGGACTGGGGTGCCCAAGGGGGCCAGGTTCCAGGAGTGGCCCCAAGGCATCACGCACTGCCAACAGAGGCCAAGATAACGGCTGCC